TGATACATTTTTGTAGTTCTTAATAACAATTTTAAATAGAAACGCCACAGGTCACGCACGTCACGTTCTAAAATTAAATATTTTAAAGTAAAAATATTCAAATTAATAAGGTTATTTCAAAACATTTTTAACTTTAATTTAATTCCCGGACTTTCAATTGTTTTTGAGAATTTGGCACACAAACAATAAATATAGCTGGGCTGTGTGAAAAAATTTAGGATTTAAGGTAAAATTATTTAAGAGGCTAGAAGTATTTTTATTTGTTTATCTTCATATCACTTTTTAATTTTTTAAGTTGCAAAATTATATAATAAAATTTTCTAATAAAATCATTCTTATATTTAACCTTCAATAGATAATATGGTTTATTCGTTTAATTTATTTTGTAACATGGTTGATTTTAAGTAAGATTTAAATAATTTTAATTTTGAAATTTTCTTAAGGATGCTTATGGAAATTGTATTGTCAATAGTAGGCTATAAAAAAGGTATTGTCAATTGTATTCCATAATCAATATATGTAATTAGAAAAGAGTATTTGAGAAAAAAAGGAAAGAAAGAAAACATTTTAGCCTTTGATTTTGATATAGTTCAATATTTTAATTGGAGTATTTTTTTTTGTTGCTAACATTTCTTTCAATACTTTCAATTTTAAAAATGAATCAAGATATCAATATCAAAATGATCATTAAAATTTAAGATTTTTTCAAGATTAATACAACAAATTCATTTCATCTTCATTCAAATTTTTTAAATTTTTAATAAAAATATATAATTGACATTAATATTTAATATAAAAATAATAATCAGTTAGATAAAGTATCAGTACATATTTTTTTTAGACCTAACCCGGAATCTTAATGGCCTAACGCTCTCCGCAACTTTTGTCTGGTTCTCTGGTGGGAAATGGAATCTATGGTTGGAAGGGACGGATAGAGATGCATGCCCCCGGTTATGAACGCTGTACAAGCTCTTTTGAGTGCGGAAGCACTTCTATTTTTTTTCCCCCCTTTTAAAAAAGGAATCAGATTCCAGTCATAAACTTGAAAAATCAATGTCGTGCCGGCTTATTTAAAATTAAAAAATAAATAATTTTTATAAAAGCAGATATTATTTTATATTTAGTTATAATATAAAAAAGTAATTATTAATTAATTTTTTTAAACTTTATAATATTTTTCTTAATTTTTATTTTTTAAAAATAATTTATTATTATATTATTTTAAAATTTTATTAAATCTTTACGTATCCAACGTTTTAAAATATTCTCTTTCATTTATCTCATTAAATTATTTTCAAAAACTATTTAAATTAGGGAAAATGACAAGGGACTTTCTAAGGATATTAATTTCAATTAAGGATCATGAAATATTGAAATCTCAATTAAGGATCATGATTTTTAATTAAAATAAAAAATATGCTTAACTTTACAAAATTGTCCTTCACTAAATACTAAAAGAGATTAGCTTTTGCTTGCATTCTCTGCTCATTTTGGGTGCGAAAAATTTGCTATCATCTGCATAAAAAATTTGAGCAAAAAATCATAGTCTTCAATGGAGTGGATCATTATTTAATCATCATCTTCTCTCCCTCTTAATGATAGGTAATTATATTCATTGCTTCTTTTTCATCTTCTTCCCTCCCCTATGTGAAAAATCTGAAGTTTTAAAATTTTTCTCTTTTTTATCTTTTATGTCTTCTCTTCTCTCTCGGGCAAAAGATAATTTTTGTATCTCTGTAAATGATATTTTACATCATTTCTCTTCTATAGCTAAGAAAAATATAGATCTTGTTGATGATTATATACATATACACACACAATAAATAATTTCTGAGACAGATAGTGTTGAAAAAAATTGAATGAAAAAAAGATGTAATGTGGATGCTAATTTTTTTTTATTTTGTGATGAAAAGTACACCGATATTGAAAAATGTAACATTAATGCTAAATTATTGTAGCCATAGTTGGGATTACAGGAATGATCGCTTTCAAGTAAGACACAGATAGTGTTAAAAAAATTAAGTGAAAAAAAAATAAAGTCGTAACATGAATGCTAATTTTTTTTTTCTGTTGTGATGAAAAGCATGTTGATGTTAATAAATGTAACATGGGTGTTAAATTGCTATAGTCATAGTTGGGATTGTGGGAATGATGGTTGTGAAATAATAAATTTACATATTGCTCCTAGTTGTTTTAAGTTTATTTTTTATATGGCAAGTACTTCTGTAAAAGAAGTATTAACCTATGAGTAATTGTAAATGCAAGATGGAAGATTTCTTATAATAGTCACAGCTAGAATCTTCCTCTAGGCAAGAGCTTGAAGGAATATCACCCTCTTTGCCATATTCAACACAAAATGCTCTCACACTACTCCTTGAGGTTAATTAAGTAAAATGAAATGATTTATTTATGAGTATTGGATAGATATTTGAAGATGTGATTGTATTTACAAAAGCATCTATATATAAGAAAAAATTATAGATTCACAATGATTTGTGTAAAAATCATTGATATGCCTCAATTGATCGATATATATTATAAATATTACAAAAACAATACCTTTTTAAAATTATCACTGATTACACGTTCCTCAGGACAACTATACACCAAGCGAAGAGAGTCACAATTTTAAAACAAGAAGGTGTACTATTGCTCAAGATGTAATCAGGTTAGGCATATCAAGAATAAATGCTTAAATCTTAATCCAAGAATAGATGTAGGGACTGAAAGATGGTGAAAACCATATGCATATTAATTGGTTTGAAATTAGAATGTATCTGTTTTTATTTATTCAGTGTGTTTTGCTGTTGACTCAATTTTTGTATAGACATCCACACCATATTTTTTATATTTATGGTGATGACAAATTATGTAAATAAGTTTGCAATTTATGTTATCTTTTAAAAAGCAGACTGCACGAGTACCATTTAGGTAGATGAAATATTTTGTGTGTAAAAAGGAATGCAAATATAGTGTATATGCATTGAAATCAATGTAATATAATGCTAATATTTATTTCAGATTTAATTATGTGCAAGCGTAACTACTGTGATAATATAAGACTATTAAAATTACTATTATAGAATGGGAAATTATTATTGTAACTTGAGAAAACATGAACCTCACTTAAGAATATATATTTTTTCCTAATATCAGAGAAACTTTTGAAATGTCACAAAGTCATTTATGAATATACAAACATGGCATGGGAATGTTGCTATTATATCTTGTGGAAATATGAAACCCTATTCAAGAATAGATTGTTTCTTATAATTTTAGAAACTAAGCTTTAAAAAGTTTCAATATTACTTACGAATATACTAAAATGGCTTGGAAATTCACTGACGTCAATTAAGATAATTTACCCATGACTTATCAAATTTTATGCTTATCAATGCACAATTAGCTCCATTTGAAAATTCACTAGCTTGATATGAGAATATTGGTATTGTATCTTATGAAAACCTTACTTGAGATATGATTGTTTAACAAAAAAATCACTTATCCAAATTGAGATTCATAAACATGACTTGGGAATTCGTTAACATAACTTGAAAATTCACTAACATGGTTTGGGAATCAATAACATTAATCAAGATAATTCACCAATGACTTGTCTAGTTTCTTGTAAATTTAGCAAAAAAATACTTAAGATTAATTGTTGTATCATATACATTGAGCCACGGAAAATACTTAAATACATAAAATTTTAATTTACATCATAGATATGATCAAAACATAACTTGTGAAAATCTATATCACAATTGTCTAATCTATTCATTCAATCTTTTTAGTCCTCTGTGCCTGGCATTTGAAATATATATCATTACTTGTGAGGCTATTCTATTGTGTGGATGAGTCATCAGGCAATACAATAGCTTAAACCTCATTTTACTCAATTATTCTTGCACAATTGGAGCAAATCAATTAACAGAGGCATGGTATGATTGCATCATTCCCTTGCATAGTATCATTGCATTGTCTGAGGTGAATGATGACATACATGCCACAATCAACTCTACATAAAAATTTTGTAAGATAAAAGTTGTTAATAATTTATTACTTTACAATTATCATTCTCGTAATCCCAACTATAATTACAACAATTCAACATCCATGTTATATTTTTTAATATTGGCACACTTTTTATCACATAATAGAAAAAAATCAGCATCCACATTACACCTTTTTTTACTCAATTTTTTTCAACACTATCTATCTCAGAAATTATTTATTGTATGTGTATATGTATATAATCTATATAATCATCAACAATATCTCTCTTTTTTTCTTAGCTATATAAGAGAAATGATGTAAAATATTATTTACAAAGATACAAAAATTATTTTTCACCTAAGAGAGAATGAGAAAACATAAAGATAGAGAGAAGATGAAAACTTTAAAACTTTAGATTTTTCACACAGGGGAGGGAAGAGGATGAAAAAGAAGCAATAGATGTAATTATCTATCACTAAGAGGGAGAGAAGATGATGACTCAAATGACAATCTATTCCATTGAAGACTATGATTTTTTGCTCAGATTTTTCGCATACATGAAAGCATATTTTTTACACCCAAAAAAATAGAGAATGCAAGTAAGAGCTGATATCTTTTAGTGTTTAGTGGAGGGTAATTCTGTAAAGTTAGGTATATTTTTTATTCCAATCAAAAACCACAATCCTTAATTTGGATTTTAACATTTCATGATTCTTAATTAGAATTAACATACTCAGGGTTCCTTAATTGTTATTTTTCCTTTAAATTAACTTCTTAAAATAATTAGATATATGCATTTTTTGAGATCCTAATTATTTTTAAAAATAAAATAAATATCATAAAAATTTATAAAATAATTTAAAATTAAGTAATTTTTATATGAAATAAGGTAAAAACAAAATGTGTCCTATATATCTATCATCTTTATTTTTTATGCCAGATCTTTATTATTTTTATAATGTAATAACTGTATATTTAGATAAACGATGCAATCAAATAATTTTGCGGAGGGAATGTTAGCTACAGTGCCCGGTAAAGCTGCGCCGCTGGTTTTGCATCTCAGCCTTCTCCTCCCTCCGCGCCCAGTGCTTTGCAAAACTGCTCTGGATTTCCTTAGCGGCAATCCTTAGTATCCAGTAGTCAGTACCCTGTATTGCGCTGCAAAGAAAATTCTTGAACCCACGCCGTCAGTTTTTGCTAGGACGCATTGACAGGGACGGTCTAGATTGGAGTTCATTCCCTTCTCACCTAATCTCCGTCTTCCGTCGCGGCGCAACTTGCAAGCATAATATATATATATATATATATATGCAGCTTTCCGTTTTTGCGGGCACGACCTCCTGTTAAGGCTCATTTCTTTTTCGGTCGCCATCCCTGTTTGAAAAAAGAAAATAAAAAAAAGAAGGAAATTGAAAGGAAACCGTAGCTCAAAAAATGGGATCTGAGGATTCGCAGATGAAGATCGTCCATGGCGAGTTTGGTTACATACTCGAGGACGTTCCTCACTTCAATGACTATATTTCTAGTCTTCCCGTAACTCTCTTTTACTTCACTGTTTCATTTCCACCCTTCTTTTAATTACTTCCTCTATCTTTCAGTTTCATTTGTGTGGAAATGTGTTAGTATCAGGAACTTAGAGAAACCACACTCTCGTGCTTATTGATTGCATGGTGAATCATTTATATGTTTTGATTTTGCTGGAACTTGCTGTTCACTTTGTTAATATTACATGGTCCCTGATTGTATTCGCAGACATACCCAAATCCGTTGCGATCTAACCCAGCATATTCAGTTGTGAAGTAAGTGAAGCCTTCCAATTCGTTAATGTTAGAATGTGCGTTGCTTGCTTGTTGTAATCAATATACTGATTCTTAATTTGCTTAATACTTATCATCAGGCAGTATTTTGTTGACGTCGATGACACTGTTCCTCAGAAGGTTCTATTCTGCACGTTTCCTGCTTCTTGTCTCCTTCTTCTATCTCATACGCCCTTAGCATTTAGTCTTCCCTGTTAAATGATCTATGAATTCCTTTTCCATTCGAACTCAGTATAGTGCCCCTTCAGGGTTTGTCTTTATGTCTCTATTCAGGGAAAAGAAAGGTTGAAAGGGGGAGGAAGTTCTTCTTTTGTTACATTGAAATAGAGAAAACTGATGCCAAAGGATTCCATCCCCCTTTTCTTTGAACCTTTCGATGCAAAAGAAGAATAAGGAAAGGAAATTGTATTTTTTTCCCCTTTCTTATCGGCATCAACATGGTGCATTTGATTTGACTTCCGTGCAATCTTTCCATAGATCGTCGTTCATAAGAGTAGTCCAAGGGGTGTACATTTTCGACGAGCAGGACCCCGGCAAAAGGTAATTTTTCTCTTGTAGATGTATTATTGAGAACCATCTCGATTTAGCTGACAGTAACTTAATATGCTGTGCAGGTGTATTTTAAGTCGGATGATGTGCATGCGTGCATTGTTACATGCGGTGGTCTTTGCCCTGGACTCAACACAGTCATAAGGGAAATAGTCTGCGGTCTATCTCACATGTACGGTGTCAACAAAGTCCTTGGTATAGATGTAAGCAGCATATTCGCAATTAGTTTATGTTTGATATATTATCTGTTGCCTTGTTATACAGCCTCTGATTTGCACTTTTAAATAAAGCTTACATAGTTGCAAAATCATGATGTACTCGTTTTGCTAGACTACTGTTTTTGATTTATTTCATATTTTCTGTAGAATGGCATGGGTAATTACCCCTGCATTCAACCGTTCCCAACTTGGTATAAATGTTTTGGAAGTTTATACTTTTTTTCTTGGCCAAAGATGATAATACTTAATTGGATGCTAGAATGATATTTCTTAGTGCAAGAGGTGAACTCAGAGTGGACTTCATTTATGAAAGGTATTACAATATAGTCATCACTATATATTTGTTTGCAACATCTTAGATTAATCGACTCTATTTGGATGCATCTATATGTCTTTACGAGCACTTCTATGTTCTTCTTAGGCAAGCTAGACTTCTCTTAGCTATGTGGTTTGTCTTTATTTCCAGTGGTTGTGTGTAGGAACTTAATGTTTGTGCTTTGAACTTGATCTATTAGGTATGGAGCTTCTCATTTTGCAAAATTAATATTGAAAAAATAAGAGTAATTTATACGAATTGCTACTCAGTTTTGCTAAAATTACAGACTTCCCTCTTATTTTGAAAATATTCACTTGAGCCAAAACTTTACTAAGATACCTTCTATAAAAGAATATTTAAGAGTGGTTGATGGATGTTACTTTAGTCAAGAAATTTAAAATTACACTACAGTGTAGCTTTAGCAAAACTTAAGAGAGGCCTATGTAGTATGTTATATTCATGTAAAATAATTGAGAAGACTGCATTTCAATGCTCACCCTGTAAATACTCCAGCCATGAAGAGAAAAGCATGGTGAATAATTACTAGAAACATGGGCATATTATGGGTTTACAGGTGCTAGCTAATAAATTGAGTTGCTGGAAATTAATTACTTTCTATTCAAGGCTGATAATGACAAATTATGATTCAAGGGCGCCAGATTTGAGCTATTGATTCGGAAGGTGAAAATATTTTGTCACCGAGTCATAAGTTTGAATGGCAATTACTTCCCATTCAAAACTTACTTTAATATAGGTTTTTAACCAAACAATATTTGGATATCTTGAAATATGTTTTTATCTTCCCTTTATCCTTTTCATCTTATGGATTGATTTGCACTTGGTTTCTCCACCGACTTCCATGTGGTTATATACAGGGGGGTTACAGAGGTTTCTATTCCAAGAACACCATTACTTTAACACCCAGAGTGGTCAATGATATCCATAAGCGTGGGGGTACCATTCTTGGGACATCACGGGGAGGGCATGATACTGGCAAGATAGTTGACAGCATACAGGATCGTGGAATTAACCAGGTCTATTATGCTTTAATCTTATTTAGATGAAGTTTCCTGGATGCTGAATGTTGAGAAAATTTGTTTGTTATATACAGTTAAACCTGAACAGTTTATTGTCACAGCATGAATAATCATATGTTTAGTCATTGTTACAGGTTTATATTATCGGAGGAGATGGAACCCAGAGAGGAGCAGCTGTGATTTATGAGGTATTTTGTATTTTAATGTTGCTTCTCTTGGCCCCAGTAAAAAATGAAGGTAGGTGGGGAGGCTCATTTCACTTAAAGGAGAAATATGGTATATATCTTTGGTTTATTTACTTTTTTGGTCCCTAAAATAGTACTCAGTTGTTAATTTAGTCATAAGTAATTAAGTACCTATAATTTTATAAAACTTGCTTCCCCCCCACTATTGAACCCCTGCCACCTTGTTATTAAATTGTGTTCGCATGACCAATAAAATAAACTATTGTGGCACTACGAATGTGCATGAATCAAGTCATCTTCTCACTGGAGTCACTCAATATAGTTATGCTGCAAGCCTAGCATGTGAGTTAATTTCACTATCCAAATTTACCATGCATTCGGATAAACTCCAACCTGATAAGCTGTCTCCAAAAGGTGTAGATTGCCACAAAGTTTTATTATCCCTCATATAACCAAATTCTTTCTAGTGAATTTGGAGAAACTAACCCAAACTACTAGGATGTGCTATCTCTCTCCAAGAATACCAAAAGAGATTATTCCAAAGGCAACTATCTGCGGGACAGTGAAGAAATGTAGGCCAATTTGTACCAAGTCTCTTTCTAATCTTAGTTTTTTCAAATTTTGTCTAGAATGTTAAGCAATGAATCCTGGGAACAGCATTTTTAATTTCTGTGGACCTGTTCTGCAACTGCATGATTAACTTGTTGTCATTCTTAGCATCTTTTCATATTGGGTAAACATTTTGAATAGATTTTGGGTATGTGCAGGAAATTAGAAGGCGAGGTCTCAAAGTGGCAATTGCTGGAATTCCTAAAACCATTGATAATGATATCCCAGTATGTTTGATCACGTTTCTTAGTTCTTTATGAATTCAAATAATTTTTTTTTATGATTTCTTATAACCAGGGAATAGTTGGTTATCAAATTTTTGAAGGAACTTCATGTAAATTTCCTTCTCTCACCTTAGGTTATTGACAAGTCCTTCGGTTTTGATACTGCTGTTGAGGAGGCTCAACGTGCCATTAATGCAGCGCATGTTGAGGCTGAAAGTATTGAGAATGGGATTGGGGTTGTAAAGCTGATGGGACGCTACAGTGGTATACATCATATTGATATTTGTCATCTTATAAGTTTCTAACTTGGATAACGTGGACCCTCAGTGCTAAGTTTGTCTCATGCAAATATAAATTTGATTTTTCATTGAAGTCCTCTTAAATGATGCCAGTTGCTTTCCTTAATTATTATGAGTATATCTATGCCTGTAGGTTTCATTGCATTGTATGCTACTCTTGCTAGTAGAGATGTGGACTGTTGCTTGATTCCAGAGTCACCCTTCTACCTTGAGGGAAAGGGCGGACTTTTTGAATTTATTGAGAAAAGGCTAAAAGAAAATGGACATATGGTCATAGTCATAGCTGAGGGAGCAGGACAAAATCTCCTTACAGAGAGTATCCAGGCTGCAAACCAGAAGGATGCTTCTGGAAACAAACTGCTTCAAGATGTTGGTCTATGGATATCTCAGGGGATTAAGGTATTAACTCATGTTTCACAATATTCTTTAAATAGAATACTTTTTCCACGGCAGTTTGTTTAGTCTACAGGCTGCACATCCAGCCATATATCTTTTAGAACATCCAAGTGCTATTAAATCAATATCATCGCCTCCTGTCTTTTCCTGAAGGTGGAGAATTTCTTGACTGCAAAGATTTTCTCTGGCCATTGTAGCTCTTGCCTATCTCTTAGAGATCAACTGGACATCATGACATGCTGGGCTTAAGGCAAGATTTATTTGATTGATACAGGTGCTCATGATTCATGAGACCTGTATTTATTCCCCAAGACTATTTTGACTCAAACCCCACCAATAGGTGAGCAGAAAAACTGTTAGCCGTGGCCAATATTGGATGACCCTTTTAATAATCTTTGAGAATTGAGAGCAATTGTAAGAAACTAAACTATAACTCCTCTTTTATATATATGTATGTATAAAAAGTCTGCATATTAGAGAGATTGTAAACACTACCTTAGCTTTCTCTCGATACACAGATATCTGACATTTAGAAGTGTCCTTATTCCCGAGCCACAACCCCTTGAGGTTTCTTTAAATGTCATATTCCTAACTGATTAAATTGATGAATTGTGAGTTTATTTGATATCTTTCTTTACTTCTGATTTTGTCCATGCGGCATCTACTTTTGGAAACCTCTTATGCCACTAAATGCATTTTTTATATTGCTTAAAGATATGATTGGAAAACAAAATAAATAGATGTGAATTTAAAAGGATATCTAGTTCTTTTTAATATATATATATATATATATATTTGAGCTGTTATAGAGCCAATAAAAATAACTAGACAGATTTGGTACATGTCGTTTCACAAGCTTGATAAGTTGTGTTGGTTACTTGATTCTATTTACACATCACCATGACTAGCTGGCATCTCCATACCATAATTGATAGAAATCCCACTGTTTTTGTCAATTTTGTTCGACCTACTTATAATTTGTATAGCGATGCATATTTTTATCAGCTTTAAATTTTTTGTATCCTTAGAAGTTTTTTTCCGACAGAACATTTAATTTATAGTGAAATCCACCAACCCACCCCCCCAAAAAAAGAAAAAAGAAACTCTGTAAAAGATTGAGGAGTGTGGTAGTGTAAAGTTTTGCATTCATATGCTATACTTTTTTTTGAACTTGGCAGCACTGCGACCAAGTTTGAACTTAGAACTTTTTCTGACATGTACAAAATTTTTGCTTCAATTTGGTGGCACTTCCAGTTTGACATTTGAAGATTTTTTTTCTATATTTTTGGTATATGATTATCTTACCTGCTTACACCATATGACTGCGAAATATTCTGTATCTATATGGATAAAAGAGATTCATTATTTGGATTTTTGAACTTGGTGGCATTGACACTGAGTTTGGGAAAAAAGATATTCAAACTCAATGGCACTGTTTGTGCAAAGAATAGTATGTGAATGCATAACATTTGACTTTTCGTACTGTGGAATCTTGATCCTGGGGCCTTGTGCACTCTCTAACATTCTTTTTTCCTCTAATAGGATCATTTTGCAAAGCAAAATAAGATGGCTATCACTCTCAAATATATAGGTGAGTTTCTCTATGCTGACTCCTCTTTCATGGATATATATCTTCATATGGTATGCTATTTTGATGGGGAGGAGGGAGCTGAGGGGAGAAGATTGGAAGCTTCTTTTTATTGAACCTAGAAGATAATGTGGAGTTCTTAAACCGAGTTATCTGGCAGATCCTACTTACATGATCCGGGCAATTCCAAGCAATGCATCAGACAATGTCTACTGCACACTTCTTGCTCAGAGTGCAGTTCACGGTGCAATGGCCGGGTATACTGGATTCACAGTTGGGCTGGTCAACGGCAGACATACTTATATTCCATTCAATGTAAGTCACATCCCATATCCTTAGGTACTGATTCATGGCTCTGTGTGCATGTGACTGTCCCCATCAACGGATTGCCAATGATAAACCCAAAATGCATTGTTCCTTCTATAATTGAAATGAAAGAATGAAACTGCATTTTACATCATTCATTGTCATTGCCACATATTCAAATGCATATGAACAAAAACAGCTAAAGCGTCATGCCTATTTGTTCTCTATTTCCACTAAACTATTTATTTTGTTTTCAGAGTTTGTATTCTCTAAAGATCAGAATTGTTCTGACTATATTGTGGATGTCTCAATTTTGAAAACCAGAGAATCACTGAGAGGCAGAACAAGGTTGTGATCACAGACAGGATGTGGGCAAGACTTCTCTCTTCGACCAACCAGCCAAGCGGTTTTGAACCCCAAAGATGTTAATGAAGCCAAAAA